CCCCGCGGATCGATACCTTGGCGCTCACATCAAGCCTGCCATCCCCCCTCCCCACCCCCCAGCAGGCGATGGCTCGGACGTGGGGCCACCGGGCGGAGCGGTTGCGAAGCCCGAGTCGGAGCCGAAGGAGTAGAGAGCAAACGCGAAGAAAATCCCTCGGCAAAGAAAACAGAGCTAGAGCGGATCTGGTGGCAAGCCGGCCGCTCGCTCTCCTCTGGGAGGAGCGGGGGAGGCCCAAAAGGGGAAAAAAACAAAGCTTCTAAAAATAAGTTCTAGCCTCGCAAAATAAGATCACCTACATGACGGGCTGCAGCGCGCACGATGGAGCGTCTCGAGGGGGCCGGCAGGGAAGTGCTTTCCCGCGCGAACTGCGGGGGGGAGGGGGGAGTATCCATCAAACGGCGATTAGATGGAGACAGTCGCCCTATGTAGGCAGATGCCAACGTTTATGCTTGGAGGGGGGAGGTGTTAAGACAATTTGTAGAAATAAAAATGATCCGAAGCGGCAACAACTTTTGGCAGAGGGGGAGTTGGGGGGGTGGGGAGGAGGTCCTTGCGGAGCGCGAGGGAGATTGGCTGTTACATCTTCCCGACGTGGATGAATGCAGGCACGGAAACACAATCACTTGATTTCACAGAGATGCCTAGTGCAACATGCAATGCACCGTGAACAGTGAAGGACACATGCTACAGCAGTGAAGGATTTTGTCTGAAATAGATACATCAACTAACTCGTTTAGTTTTCCTGCCTCTGGAAGTATTTTTGTTGTTGTGAAGGCATGAACCGTGCCTGCACTTATTTAATGGGTTTCTTTTCAACCACTTGACTGCCAGTTGTTTGGCAGAGAGAGAGAGAGTGCAAGAACTTACAGAACTGAGAAAGTTTTTTAAAGCTCTCTCTCTCTTTCAGGTTTGTATCCCTGTATCTTCTGATTTTATGGAGGTCACCTCTCTGGGATCCCACCCCTCCTCAGCCAAAGCTAAACCAAAGCAGTTGGTTTTATTACTGTTGCAGATTTGGCAAATCACAAACTCTAAAAGAAGAGAACAATAGCACTCCAGGTCCTTATTTTATGTCCTCTATCATCCCCTTCCTGGAGAAAGCAAGGGGATATTTGGACTTCTGGGGAGCATCCAGATGAGCATTGACACTTTCCCCCCCTGACAAGTAGCAGCGGCACACCTGGTGCCACTGCTACTTGTCCCTGGGGAATGCATGTGCCACATGTGCTCTGGCACGTGGCAGATTACCTTGGCTGGGGCAGGGATGGCTGGGGCCAGTAGTTGTGCTGGTCCCAGCAGCCTTACCTGGGGCCCTGGGGGCCTCCCAGGGCTGCAGCCATGGCAGGAAGCCTGGCCAGTAGCCAAAGCATGGCTCCAGCTGGCCAGGCTCTGGTTTTGGGTGGCACATGCTGCTGCCACATGTATCACCCTGCTTTTTTTCAGCTTGGGTTTTCTTGACCCTGGGCTCTCCTGGTGCTAACCCCCCCCCAAGCACTGTAAGGTAGCAGTGTGGGGAACGCCTGCATATCTGGTGTGTGGCGCCACAGATGGGTCTGCAGTACCACATACTGCACAGTTGCGGTCATCTGGATACGACCTTGTGTTTTACACCAGTGTTTCTCAGCCTGTGGGCCACGATCCAAAAGTAGGTTGCAAGAATACATAAACGGGTTTCAAACAAATTTTGAAAACGGATTGACAAACTTTAAAAATGGATTCTCCTTGAAAGGAGAAAAACATGAGAAACCATGGCTTTTCCCTTACAGGCCGTCAGAGTTTCAGCCTACAAGGGGCTGCTTGGGGCCCCCCATGCCCCATACCCCCCCCATTCCCCACACACCCACTCCCTGCCTCACACACTGGGGGACTGGGGCCTGGGGGCGTGGGGAAGTGGGTTGGAAGTAAAGGGCACTGGGTCAGGACTGGCTTACAGATGGGTCCTGGTACAAAAAAGGTTGAGAACTATTAGTTTAGACCCCTGAGGGTCATGAATGTGATTTTATTTTTCTAGTTTATTTACCAGCATATGCATAAGTTTTGTTCTCTTTTAGGTTTGTACATGTCTGTCCAGAGAAAGCAATCATGAGTGCCTGTTATGTAATGACTACCCACCCTGAATAAAAGAAAAACTCAAGCAGCAGGTTTGCAGTTTGAATTGGAGAGTTAGAACTTTAGCATGTTTGAGATTAAGTGGTAACCAAATCAAGAAATTCATAATACGTGATTTTTTAACAATCCCACAATGACTCTAGAATTGTTGCAGTATGGTTAGAAATGGCTATATTTTAATACCATAAACCTAACATAAACAGTCCTATTTTAGAACTACTGATTTGGTGTTTTGTTATGGGAGCTTGTAAAAGAGGAGCTATACCAGTTATTTGTCATTTGAGGTATGCTTATTATAGTGAGTAATGCTGCTCAACTAACCCATAAACCATGACAGAACCTTTGAACAATCAAGTTTCCTGCAACAGGCCAGGAAGCTGCATTCCTGTGTATGCTGACTCAATAAATCCCGAACTGTCCTGGGCTTGCCTTTCCCTTTATACAGAATGTTGCACTCCTGAAATCAAGGGGCATGTTCACGTGTGCAAGCATGTGCATTTGCAGCAGGTCAAATAAAAGCGGTGCAAATCTGAGCCTGGGCTTTTTGCCTTGGCGCACGTGCTCGGACATGCACTTCGTTGTGAAGCAAATTGTGCCACTTGGGGCAAAATAACCCTGCCTGGCTCCTCCTGGATCTGCAGCCAAGGGGAGCTAGAGCCCAGGGTCACCACCTCTGCTGTCCCCAGAAGTATAAAGAACTGCCCTGTCCTGGCTCCATCTGTACAAAAAGCTGCCCTGGCAAGTAGCTCAGGGCTACTTGCTCTCAGGAGCTTCTGGGGCCACTTGGTACCTGGGGACACGCCTTGTGTCAGCTGAACTGCTGCAGCAGCATCCCAAATCCATTTTTAAAAATACTGCAAAATCCATGTTTTTCCACAATTAAAACAAAAGACCACTCTATACGCACACACAAACGTATATATCTAGAGAGAGAGAGAGAGAGAGAGAGAGAGAGAGAGAGAGAGAGTGATCAGCTGGGCAATGCTTTATTGGTATATTTGCAATGTGGAAGCCTACCAGTGTCTCTATCATCATGATAAAATAAATTCTAAATACCTATATGTGTTGATGTGTACTTTTGGTTTTCTTCACATATGATGGGTGTGTGATGGGGGGATGTGGTATTTGCAGGAAGGGGGTGGGAAGGGGTATGGGGGAAGGCCGGTGGGTGTGTGTGGAGGGATGTGGGTTGGTGTGTGGGTAGGTGTGGGGCAATTGCTGGAGGGACTGTGGGTTTGGGGGACCTTGTGGGGGGGCTGCTCAGGAGGGGTGGGTCCCCTGGCTGCCACAGGGTGCAGACCCCCACACACAGAACATGGAATGCTCCCCATCCTGGGTCCCAGCTCCCACACAGGGCCCCAGCCCCCCTGCCCAGGGTCCCAGCTCCCCACAGGAGGGCCACAGCCCAGCCACCCAGGGTCCAAGGCACCCTGGAGGAACACAGCCCCCCCCCCACAAAGGGTCCCAGGCAGGGGCCCTGTGGGGGATAGGGGCTGTGGCCCTCCAGGAGGGAGTTGGGGCCCTGTGAGGGGGAGCATTCCATGTGCTGTGTTGGGGGCCTTCACCCTGTGGGGGCCAGGGGACCTACCCCCCTCCTGAGCAGCCCCCCCACAAGGTCCCCCACACCCACAGTCCCCCCAGCAATTGCCCCACACCTACCCACATCCCTCCACACACACACACACACACACACACACCTTCCCCCACACCCCTTTGCACCCCCTTACTGCAAACACCACATCCCCCATCACACAACCATCATGTGCAAAGAAAACCAAAAGTACACATCAACACATATAGGTATTTAGAATTTATTTTATCATGATGATAGAGACGCTGGTAGGCTTCCACATTGCTTTAATATTGTAAATATACAATATATATACAATATACCTCCCCTCAGTGGGAGTGGCACGCGGCAGGACTTGGGCCAGCCCTGTGTGGCTCGCTAGTGTGGCTTTGCACCAGAGCAGGTCACACAGCTCCGGGAGGCATGGGTCCTGTGCGTGCCTCCTGCAGCCCTGCTACCCACTCCGGTGCAAAGCCGGACTAGCAAGCTGCACGGGGCTGGGCCAGGTCCTCACCAGCTGCAGCCCTGGGGACATCCCCCCGCCACTCTCCAACCCCCCCGCCCTGCATTCCCCTGACACCCCTCACCCACCCACACCCATGAACTCCCACTTACCTTGGACAGTGCTGGGGGCCGGAGGCAGCAGGAGAACCAAAGAGATGCTCTGGCTGACACCAGAGCATTTCTTTTGGATGACTGACTCCATGGCACATTCTGGGACCGTGCCTTGCTCCACTCTTCTGCAGAGCAGTTTTTTTAGACCCCTGGGTATCCAGGGGTCTAATTTTTTCATTCCCGTATGTGCCTCTTGCCCTGCCTCAAGGGGGTTTGAG